TGCACTTTGATTGCCATTCTGAATGTTTGTTTGTTTGTTTTCCCTGTGCAGAACTTAGGAACCCTATAAATGAGTGAGGACGGGAATGTTTAACAGGGAAAAATTCGGGAATTCCTGGGTACGTAACCATATTGCCATTAAAATAGAACCAAACACCATCCTCACATTACCTCTACACTGAAATCTGGCCATGATTTTCAAATGGAACTGACTGTGTAATAACATAGCTAGTAATTTTGAAAACTGTGTGCAGAAGTATATTGTCCTCACACATTCCTATTCAAACTTGGTGCTTAAAAATCTTCTATCTATCAACTTCCCTTGTCAGCAAGTTATCATCCATCAGAACAAACAGAACAGTTGAAAAGAAAGACTTGCATCCATCATCATAGTAGGACTCTAGGACCAAATAAGGATGGGAGACCCAGGTGAGGGGTTGTACAGGACTTTGCCCTCAGAACACAACACCAGCATCCTCATTTCTGTCCCTACTCTGTTCCTTTAGAATAAAAGGTTTATGTTTCATATCTATCCAGAAGATAACACTCACTTTAATAAAACATCATGACTGTTGCCTTTAATGCTCTACCTCATGGCATGTCCAAAGTCTTTTACATTCATTTTTTAGTATTGACTCTACCTGGCCTAAATGAAATGGACCTTACAGCAAAGCTATAAAATTATTTTATATATATTCAATCCTTTGGAGCCTTATTATTGAAGGTATATCTGTGACATATTAACACTTTCCCTAGCTGCAATATTTACAACTAATTAAGGATGAAGTGATTTTTCCAAAATAAAGATTAACTAGATATCATGTAAATAATGATATTTTATCTTCCTAATATGTGCCAAGCCCTAAATCATCTGAGATGAAATTTTGTGTAATTGAGTATTGCTTAAGGAAAAAAAAAAATGATCTAAGAGGAACTTGAAGATTCTTGCCGTGATGTTTTTTGATTTAGGATGTGATTTATATTCATTTTATTCTTATTGTTACTACATTTCAAGTCATGTGAAATCATTCATCTTCATGAGAGGCCACAAAACAAGCTTAAGATATTTAACATTTTAATGAACATGTATGTTTGCTTTTTCAGGATCAGAAGGCTTTAATGTGAGTTCTATTAATCTTTTAAGAAAAAAAGTACTCTAACTCGTAAGTTACTAAAACTGATCATGGACGGTATGACAAAATATGATTAGAGACTAATTTGACCTATCAATATATTTTTAATAAATGTGAATTATGTAGCTTTGATAAGTCAAATTTAAATAAATCAAGTTACTGTCAAGTAAAATTTTCAGTACTATGTGTAATCACAATCCAATATGGTAAAACTATCATTATAGAAAATGAAGTTTGAGAAAAATAAGCACTAAAATATTGTCTGGGGAAAAAAAGAAAAAATATTCAATAGCTAGCTTATTATAATTCAGTGTGGACAATGTTGGAATATTTCACAGAGTTCCCTAAGTGCAAAGAAATGGAACTGGACTGGATAGCTCTGCATTCCCTTCCAGTAAGAAAAGTCAATGAAACTATGAACATGCAAAAGTGGGTAGCAAGTTTTCAAATTTAGCACTTCATTTCATTGGGAGTATTAAATGGCCTCATACCAACTTAAACATACAACATGAAAAAGCAAAAGAAAATATGCCAGTATATTATTCATGCTTTTTTCCCTCATGTTTATTTCTCCCTTCATTTACTCATTCCAAATTTGACATAATAAAAATTAGAGTTACTTTTCTCTCAATAATTTTCCACCTGCCTCTGCCAATGATTGGCAGTAAGAGCCTCAAACTAATACAGATCTGGTAAGAACAATTGCAAAACTGCAAGACATGGCTCAAAGGAAAACCATGGCAGTGTTCAAGCATCTTCAGTGGCTTTTTCTCAGCCTTTCAGATAGGACTCCATGTAGAGCCATCCCGCCAGGCTGCCTAAAGGACTTACCACTAGAGCAGTAATCTCTCTATGTAATTATCACTCCCTGATACTGACCTCCCACTCCCCTACCTCCTGGCAGCCCGTTTTAGGGATCCAATTCGGGAAAAGTAATGAGAGAACGAATGAATTTAAATATTGGAAACTGTGAAACCTACAGCCTTGCTACTGTATTTCCACGTGCACTGTTGAATGATAAATGTATCCATGTGACAATGGAATATAAACGATAAAAACAAAAGAGCATATTACACAGCCATAGAGAACAAAATTATGAACTTCGCAGCAACTTGGATGGACTTAGAGTCTATAATACTGAGTGACCTATCACAGAAACAAAGAACTGAGTACCACATGTTCTCACTCATAAACAGACCTTGAATAATTATCATAATACAATAAGAAAAGGATTGGCAGTAGTGGGAAGCTGCCGGAGAAGTGGGGGACAAACCTTATCAACATGCATTTGTGTGCCTAACCCTGAATTGTACCCCACATCTTTAAAATAAGAAATTAAAAATAAAAATAAAAAATTTTGTAGAGGTGGTGGTGGGGGGTCTTACTATGTTGCCCAGTCTGGTCTTGAAATCTAACCTCAAACGATCCTACCACCTCAGCCTCCCAAAGTGCTGGGACTAAAGGAAACAAACAAACAAGCAAAAACAAAAGAGTAAGTCATTCTTCTCGATCTTTCTAGATTTTTATAATTCTTAGAATTAGAAATTTGAATTTCTCCATCTCTGTACGTAGATTTAAGGAAAGACAAAACAGTTTCTAAAGAGTCAGTGCATTAAAAAAATAAACAACAGCTGAGAAAAAGCTGGCAGGTGAAAGGGAGTGAGAAGGGCAGAAGGCTGCCTTTGAACTTGGAGTCTTTCAAGCCACAGCACACCTGCACCATCCAGGCACTATCAAAAAGTCACTGGCAGAGTTGTGTGGATGAATGGCTCTGACACCAGCAGTATTGATGGTGTGTATAAACTGGCAGAGTGTATAAACCAGGCTTGGTGGCTCAGCCTGTAATCCCAGCAATTTGGGAGGCTGAGGCGAATGATTTGCTTGAGCCTGTGGGTTTGAGACCAGCCCGGGGAACTTGGTGAGACCTGGTCTCTACAATAAAGTAAAAAAAAAAAAAAAAATAGCCGGATGTGGTAGCACATGCCTATAGTTCTGCCTACTTGGAAGGCTGAGGTGGAAAGATTGCCAGAGCCCAGCAGGTCGATGATGGGGTGGCTGTGAGCATGCCACTGCACTCCAGCCTGGGCGACGGAATGAGACTCCAAGTCAAAAATAAAATAAAATAAGCTGGCAGAGTGTAATGATGCAGCAGCCACGTGCAAGCCAATGGGTTAGGACTGCAGGATCTAGGGCCCTTGTCTTGGCCCTGTTTGGGGAACCTGGAGAAGATGCCCTATTGCCTTGTGTCCTTTGTCCTCTATTAGTAACCTATGGCTTATAATAACCAGGCTGACAAAACTCTTAGAGGATTTATTAATAATTGTGATAACAAAACACTTGTAAAGATTAAAGTGCCATAGAAATGCTAAGTTATATAAGCCAGGTCTACCAGGGCAGTTGGTTTCCCTTCTGATATCATTTAAAGCATGTTCCTCTTTAAGCTCTAAATTTGTGCTTATCTTGAATATCTCATTATAATTAAAAATATAAATCCAAAAACAACAACTCTTCTTTACATGAGAATTCCAATTAATAAATGTAGAAGGAATGAGAGTCAAAATCTTGAATAAAGTTACCCAGACCTGGCATGATAAAAAATTAAATTAAATTAAAAAATGAAAATAAATAAATAAAGCATGTTCCTAGGTGTATTACAATGCCAGGGAGACAAGGACTTCGGTAAATGTGTTTAACCTAATAGAGCAACGAGAAATTATCTGATTACCCTGCAAGGGTTTATGAAGCATTTTTTCATGGGATCATCACAATAAATTTGTGAAATAGGCTGGGCAGATACAATCATTCCCATTTTATGGGAAAAGAAACTAAGGCCCCAAAAGTTTCAATAACTTGCTCAAGGCCATGGCGTGGGAAGGCAGAACCCAGGTTAGAGATAAGATTTCTCACTCCTGTCCCAGCACTCTTTCTAACTTAACTGCATTCCTTCTCAAAATGGGAAGGAATAGCAATTAATTGATGGAGTAATTATTCGTGTTATTATTATTTATTTCTGTTCACACTTGCTGAGCACTTGCTGTGGTTGGGTGCCTTGTCTCATCTGATCTCCCACTTACGAGGTGGGGGCTGTTTCTTAAGGACACCTGCAACAACCACAACAAACCAGAAAGAAAACTCCTTCTACTAAAGTTACATGGCAGTCTTTCCTTAGAATACTCATGTGATATATATCATGATTGACCCTTTATTTTAGCTAGGTTTTCACATGCATATGCTATTGTGATGTCCTGGAGGACAGAAAGCATATCAACCTTTGCAATGGCATTCAGTGCAGTGTGCATCATTATAGATGCTCAAGGAACATTTGTTGCTTGAATGATTACAGGTATGGGATTTTTTTTTCCTTAGCTGGAGTCTCACTCTGTCGCCCAGGCTGGAGTGCAGTGGCACACTCACACTCACCGCCACCGCAGCCTCGACCTGCTGGGCTCAGGCAATCCTTCCGCTTCAGCCTTCCAAGTTGCTGGAACTACAGGTGCGTGCCACCACACCCAGCTAATTTTCTGATTTATTGTAGAGATGCTCAAGCAATCCTCTTGCCTCCACCTCTCAAAGTGCTAGAATTATGGGCTTGAGTCACTGCGCCCAGCCTAGGTGTGTGATTTTTAAAACAACTTATATGGTGCCAAGTTTCACAGTAATAATTATTTCACATTCCAGAAAAAGAGAAGTTGCAGCTCTTTAATTATTTGGGTGAACATCGCTGATTACATTTCCGCTTTACCTTGGAAATGTGTATTCTCGAGGTGCAGAATTTGCTAGTGGGAATCAGCCTACCAAAAAAAAAAATAAGCATTTCACATGGAACTGATCTGATTACCCCAAGCTTCTTTGCCTGGTGGCTCCTTACCTGATAACATATTGTCAGTTTTTATTGAGGGAAACTTCAAAGTCATTTCATGCTTGTGCCTGTGAATCATCAGATGGTCCTCTGTTGGGAAGCGCTGTCAGACAAAGAAAAAACAGGAAGGGGAGACGAGGAGCCATTCAATATTGTAAAACATATTTACTGTTACAGAGAAAAAGATGTATTCAGCATTGCAAACATAACGGCAACACAGAGAACCAGTCTGAAAAAGTGTAAAAGCATAAGTAAGTAAAGTTTTTTTATATAAGCAAATATGTTGGGATGTTTCTTTGAATTACGCTCAAACACTACACATCATAATTTCCATTACTGTTCACCAATGGGGTTAACTTTGTTGTAGAAAAATCTGGCTGAGTACTAATAGTAAGTAGAAGATCTTTGTCTTCTATTATTCTCTGAATCCCTACACCTTCCCTGGGAACTTTGCTTGAAGGTTTCCACTTCTTAGAGAGCCCTGGATATAACTAACTGTGCTGACTGGTCAGTAAACTATAAATTTCTTTAGGAACTAGATGTATGCATCTGAGGGCAGACTTTAAACTTTGTGTTTCATTAAAGGATAAACTAGGAAGAGGGAAAAGAACAACATTGAAGGTATTAAAATAACATATTCACCAAAGATATGCTGTGTCCTGACGCCTACCTAATGAAGGCAGTTTCTTTAAAAAAAAAAAAAAAAGTGTTTAAATGAATGATTATTTGTGGTCACAAAGAATAACTAATAAAGGCAAATAACGTAATTAAATATGTTTCCATTTTTTATACATATAAGAAAACCATGTCCAAAACAGAAAACTGGATTTAGACCTAAGTAGCAATGGAATTTTGCAAAATTATTTGGAGCCTTACTCTAGCAGTTACTGTTTTACATAATAGTGCAAAATTAAGTCTCAGGCATGATAAGTATGCTAGACATTATCTATAGATTAGCCAAAAGTAGGAGAAATGCATGGCACAGGAAAAGAATCTTAATTTATGTCAGGCTTTGGGAAAGAGTTATATTCCATGCTTAATTATGCATCTACAAATGTACACTGTGAAATGTGTATAATACATTTCTGTTTATGAAAACCTTGCCCACTCATTATCTGATTTTTTATAATTATATATGATTTTATAGTAACATGACAAATTATTTTTAGCATTCTATATCCTGTACAGCTTAGTAAATCAGTACTTTATTTTTAGTTTTCAAGGAATAATATGGTTGTCAAAAATGCTGTCCCAAGTTTTTCAACTGTCTGACTTCTGGTCGCATGGTGGAACTGAATTTTCAAGTCTTCTTGTGATTGAGTGGAGCCATGTGACAAGATCTATTCACTGAGTAATGAATGGAGGTGACATGTCACCCAGAGGCGAGCACCTAAGCCCAGAACCCTCTAACCTTCTCCCTGCTCCTTCCTTTTAGCATGACAATATTGTACATAGTGGCCACTCAATCATCCTAAATCTCTGAAGGATTATGAGGAACATTTCTGAATCCTAAAGGATTATAAAGAACTTCCTGCCAATCTACAATAGAAATGTATCCTTGGGTAATAGAAATAAGCCTTTGTTGTTCTAAGTCATTGAAGCTTTGGGGTAATCTGTTATTGTAGCAGATCCTAGCCTATCCTGACTGAGACTGGTATGCTTGCAATAACTGAACTTAACAGAGTATCAGTTTTATCTAAGTCAAATGAAAATACAACAAAGGACAACAAATTCTGCTGAACATTTCTGAATCTTTGGCATTTTAGAAAATCTTTCAGAGTGGCCTAGGTCCTCAGGATATGTTTCAATGACTTTTGCATACTATGTTAGAAATCTTTTCTGCAAATAGTATAGATTTGTGTTCATGAGAATAGGGGAATTCACTGAGCTGAATCATGAAACATCCTAAAAGTAGTTCTTTGTATAAATACCACTTATTTGCTTGCCATTTGTATCATATAAATTAGAGAGCACAGACTTTGCAAAGCATGGTGATTATGCTAGATTTCTGAATACGTGGAAGTTTACTTTATGTGACACGGATCTTGCTACTGCTTCATCTATTCTGTTGGTCTTCTATACACTATATAACAACTGCACCAAACAGGGGACACTACCATGTGTGACTTAAGAGACAGGGGATACATTTCCTAATCTTTCTGTCAAAAGATGTATTATAAATCCATTGTTTTATATATATATGTGCGTATGTGTGTATGTGTGTATGTGTGTAATATCAGCAAACAACATGGTAACATCCTTCATTTCATATTTATAAGCCATTTTTTAAACTTTGTAAATAGCCTACAGTAGGATATTCATCAGAATACTTTGCGAATAATAATAATTTCCATAATACCCCATATTAACTATAATTGCCTTCCAAACAAGGCAAAATAGAACATCCATGATTATTTTTAATTGGGCAGGAAAATAGCAGCAAACTATAAATAACCAACATGCACAATCTTCAACAGATACAGAACTGAAAGGGGCAACTAGCAGCCAGAACATGGTTAATGCAGATGGCAAAGGAAGAGTGAAATTAACGCTGGGCTCTGTGTGATTAGAAAAAGCAAGAGAAGCTTGTTTCTCGTTACTTCCGAGACAAAGTTAATGCCTAAGGAGCTGCGGTATGAAAAAGCTACCAGGCATTCTAGGCCGTTCCTAATAGAGCAAGATTTCTTTCTGACGAGGCAAAATGGGGTAAAAAATATCTTTTCCTCGCCTCCAGCACAGTGCAAGCACTGATCATTTGTATTACTCCCCTTTCCAATTCTCAAACATCCTTTCTTCTCCATACAGGTTTCCAGGCTATGAGGCATCCCTAAAGTACATGCCATGATCACAACAATTGACTTGACTGTGAGTTTCAAATACCCCACGAGAAGACCCTTGTAACTACTGGGCAACTTACATTTTCTTAAGTCTAACACCTCTTCAATTGAAAGATACATACGTGTTTATAACAGCTGGTCAAGAAAAAAATACACTTCCACATTAAATGAAGACATTGAGTTTTAGATTCATCTTTACATTTAAATATGAAGTGGGGGAAGCTTGGAATTGTACATTAAAATCAAGAAACTGTAATTCTAATTCTAATTCTCATGTCTGTCCAATCTTCTCAGTCCACGCGGCTTTCTCAAGGAAACATCCTACTCCTTCACTGAGAAGTTCAAGGTCATTCAAACTGGACCACCTTCAGCCTTTATTACCACCTCCACCTCAGAATTTCCACGCGACTTCATTGATTCTCTTTCCATGTCCTCCTTTCTCAGAGGACTGAGCCTCCCTCCCCTCCCCAGGGCCCTCCACACCCCTTGTCTTCTGGGGACTGGCCCTGCAAACCAACATGCTCGCTCTTCTCTGTCACTGGTTTTTTGTCCTTGACTAAATCCTGCTTGGCTATCCTTTAATTTTAAAAAAGCTGCTTCCTTCTCAGGCTACCATTATATCACTCTGCTTCCCGTCACTGCCTAGTGCTCTTGAAAGAGTCCTCTATGCTCGCCACCTCCGCTTCCTCACCACCCACTCACTCATTAATCCCTGGCAATCTGGCCTCCGCCCCTGCTCCCCGCTCATAGGTTGCTGCCGAGCACCTAACTGCCAAATCCAACAGCTTCTGCTTAGTCCCCTGACTATCCCAGCTCTAGCAGCGTCTGACACCAGTGACCACATGTCTGTGGCATTTATTTATTTATACCCTGCCTGATGCCAAAAGGAAGAAAAGATGGCTTAGAGCAATACATAAAATAGTTTGGGAGGACATTGATTAGAAGTAGGTGACCCCAAAAGAGAAGGAATACAAAAGTAAGTGAGGCCAAAGCCCAAATGCAAACCAGAGGACAGTCATTCTCAACCAGGGACAATTTTGCCCCCCAGGAGACATTCGGCAATGTCTGGAAACGTTTTTGAGCGTCACAACTGGAGAGTGCTACTGGGAACCTAGTAGATAGAGGTGAGGGATGCTGCAAAACATCCCACGGTGCATGAGACAGTCTCCCAAGACAAAGACTTATCCAGCCCCAAATAGTGCCAAGCTTGGGAGGTTCTGCCCTGTCATCTGATGACCTGCGCACAGCTCTCTTCTCTGACTCATCTAAACATTAGATCTGGCTAACAACCCCTTCCCTGAAATGTTCTTCTCTACTGTCATCTGCAACTCAGGACATTGCTGGGAATTCTAACTCATCCTTAACCCTCTTGCCTTTGCTGGGTCTCTTCAGTATCCCAGGCCATTAAATGCCCCTTTGTTAAAGGAGCCTGGCATTTACCTCCCCAAGGCAGTCAGTCCCCCTGTTATATATTATACTCTTCGATATGGCCCATGGTCTTCCTTCATGGAAACTTGTGATGGACTGATTCATTGATTAATGCGATTACAGATTGATCCCTAGGCTAGAGGCTCTGAGGACAGGGACACGTGTGTCTTGTGACTACTGTTTCCCCAGGGTAACCAGAGTACCTAGCCCATAGTAGGCTCCTGGGAGGTGTGTTGAGTGATTTGAACTGAACCAAACTTAATGTCACATTTTTACAGCAAAAGCAAAGCAAACTGCTCGAATGATCTGATTCCCTTTGGCTATTGAGACTTCTCCTTAAGGATGCTGAGTGGGAATCAGTGTTGAGTTAACTTGTAACTTAGTAAGGTGATTCTGCTTTCACAATGGACAGTCCCAGTCTAGGAGGACTTTTCCCAGTTACTTAACAACCTATCTGTGTTTTTCTAGTGTTTCCTACTTTAAAATTACCTCCAAACCAGTGTGCTTCAAAATGATGCTCTCTACTGCTTTTATTTATAAGTTGGAAAATAAACAGAGACACTAAAGCCTCTGGTGAAACTTCCCGAACCTGAGCAAAGGACTCTGGGTGTTCAGTCAGCAGTTGATAATACCAGCAATGTCTTCTCTTTCTATGGCTTCTGCCCTCCAGAAGGCTCCTAAAATACACCCCAAATGTCTGGGGAGATATAATAAGGTTCTTCAATGGACATCAACTCTCATCTGACGCCTAGGCACTGCTCCACACTGTCCTGCCAACCCCATCACACAAACAGGCAAGAGAGTGGGGCTTGATTCTCTTGAAACCACTAGGCAGTTTAGGGAAAGGGTGTACCTACTCACACTGAAAAGATGCCTGTGTTCTGGGTTCTAAACTTTTCCTGTGTCCCATAGAATGAATATCTTGGCATAAGAGCAACTACATGTGCTCATTTTCCAGCGACTGGAACGTGGAGATACCCAAAGGGTCAAGAGTAGAAAAAGTCCTTGTCAAGTTCTGAGGTAAAATGCAAAACTCTGATTTTAGTGATGAATGTTTCTGATTTCTTTCAAAGAGCTAGGTTCCATTATAATAGTAGTAGCAGCAACAACAACAGTAATAACAACAGTGGACATTAATTGAGTGCTTATTATGCATAGACCCTATACTGAACACTCTACAGGCAGTATCTCACTAAATACTTACAGAGATTCCACTTGATGGGAGCCATTGGAAGCCAAAAGAGATTTAATCCAGCACAGCCGGGCAACTTCCCCTCTTAGAGTTTAGATACACGGGGAAATCGAAGATTCTTAAAGAGTTATGGGGGTTCCTTTTACTCAAAGGAGAAAACAAAATAGAATTTTACTTATGATAGTGAATTATTTTTACCAGTAGTCCAGAGGGCCAGTCAGCACCCAAGGGGCTATTGCAAAGGTGAGCACTCTTCTTTCCCTTTCTGGAATAACAACCCTGCCTGTGTGGTAGACAGGATGCATCTGGCTTGCTTCCAGAGGGAAGTTATGGGTGAAAATGTCCAACGCTGCTTTATTTTAGGGGATATGAGGGAAGTAGTTAAAACTATTCAAAGTAGAATATAATAATAGGGATGAAGATGATTGTGATCATGACGGTGAGTGGGACTTTGACAGTATCTTGGTAAAAAAGGAAAGCTCAGAGCAGGCATGATTGCCACACGAGTGTGGCTTTCCTGCTGGAAGGTAGATACATTCGCTGCATGCCAGAGACCAGAGGATCCCAACACTCACCTGGGAGCAGCCTGGGGCACTGCAGACAAATGGCCTCTCCTGCTCCAAATTCATCTTGGATTCCTCATAAATCTGAAGGATGAGGGAGAGGAAGAAGGGAAAACAGAAATCCATTAACATCTCTTGCTTCCACTGGAGATAAATGAGAAAGGCAATCACTTGGTGCCCCCTTTCTTCACCAATTCCTTATTTAAATGAGCAAAACACGAACACAAATGAACACAGGTCCTGCTTGACTGAAGTTCACTAGTCTTCCCCAGGCGGGGATCCTCTTGTGCTTTTTTGAGTGCATACTGAGTGTACTGAAGAAAGATGCCATGGAACTGTGGCAGGAGAAATTCTGCCTGTGGAAAACCATCCGGTGGGTGTTATGACCAGGTAAGACTGCACCTACGGAGGGAGATTGAGGCAAAGTCACACTGATTCTTCTTTGGTCCCACTGAAAGCTTTTGGGTTGGTTACAGAGGACAGCAAGAGAGGGGCTAGTACCTGGGTACTTGTCAGTGTGAAGGCCAACCTTGAGCAACACAGCACATCAAATGATATACCCATGATCACCCCAGCAAGCTCCTGCATTACCAAGGGATGAAAAAGTAGCCCTGAGATCAGTTTACCCAGTGATTCTACTGGCAACCATGGTCTTCAATTCCCTTTATCTCGGGCATTTGATAGGCTTCAACAAAAATTATCTAAGTTATGTGGGGGTAAATAGAAACCTGAAAATGCAAAAAAAAAAAAAAAAAAAAAAAATCACCATGGACATTTTAGCTTCATAAGCTGATTCAAAATTAATATTAGATGAAGGCTGCTGCCCCTCTGATAGAAACACATTATCCAGAATAAAGTAGTTTTAAGAAGAAAATCTTATATTATAATCAGGCATCTGTTAAATTATACTGCAGTCTTTTCTAACATAGTGGTTCAGTTCTAAAGTGCATTCATTAGACAAAAATTGAGTGTAGCAATTGTGTGTACCTTTGCAAATCCCCCCAAATGCCAATAAAAGTACAGTACACATTGTTTTGTGGTTACCAATCCATACCGTAACATATATTTAAAATATATATTTATATATAAACAGTACTATACAAATTTAAGTTACACAATTTAAATAGTTTTTAAAATAATACTTTTTTTGTTAATTTTATTTTCATTTATTATTATTATTATTTTGAGTCAGGGTCTCACTCTGTTGCCCAGACTGGAGTGCAGTGGCACAATCACCACAGATCACTGCAGCCTCAAATTCCTGGGCTCAAGCAATCCTCCCTTCTCAGCTTCCCAAGTAGCTGAGACTACAGACATAGACTACCACACTCGGCTATTTTGTACTTGCTAATTTTAGAGTCAAGTTTATATCAAGTACATGTGCTGCTAATGGGACATGGCTCTATTACTGAATTGAAACCTACTACTTTTACTCTGAGCATAGGAAGCAATTTGCTTCTTTAAAATGCTGCTTGTAGGTGATTCCAGTAGGACTCCCAAGTCACCCTTGCCCCTGAAAGAGGGAACTCTGCTCAGAGTCAGACCCTTTGTCTAAAGCAAGCTTCATTATCTTCTACAGTACTTGTTATATTGTTATACCTCTCCTCCCAAGCACTAAAGTTTTTGATATATATTCTTTGGGAAAATATATGTACACTTTCATTTTTGTGAAGCACAAAGTGAAAAGCACAATGATAGATAACACTGTCAATCAGATATTTTAAAATAATATAAAGGAAATTTAAACATATAAGTCCTTTTCCAACCACTATTCCTCATCATCATACAAGTTTCTCAGAGCAATGTCCTTTTCACCCTTCATTTGGAATGACTCCCCACTGGCCACCCATCAGTACCGTGGGTTGCATAATTGTATAGCTTTCCTGTATTAAGCATATTGTTTAAAATCCTTTACTGTATTTTATTTAGAAGAAGAAAAAAACAAAAATATATTTGGGATCTTTCTGCTCGTTCTTGTCTGAGGAAAGTCATGAGCAATTAAAATAAATTTTCATACTTCATTATTCATTTGATGCTGTCATAACTGACCAGAAAGCAGCTCTCCTCCCCGCTATGAATACTGGCAACTTACTCCTAAGATTCAAAACAAAGAGTGACTTTAAAGCTGAGAAAATGACTTTGATCCAAGGTAGAATAAACAACAGAGTCATTGGATTATCCATTAATTACACATGCCTTGTTTTTCTAGTAAATTTTTGAGATTGCTCTGTCTCTGCAGCCCTCTTCTGCTTGACCACTACCATTGATTGCTTCATGCCTCAATGCCCCCTCCTTTACAAGAGGAGTATGAAGATCAACCTTCACCTCAACCCTGTGCTATATGAGCAAGGGGATCTGCCAGACGTTTTCAAATTATGGAGAAAGGCCTGCATATCTAAATGTGAATGTTTGGAGGTGGGGAGAGATTTTGAAGCCAAGCATTACTGAAATCTCACTCTAATATTAAATATTCCCTATTTATACAATTATAAAATAGAGCTGGGCATTGTGGTGCATGCCTGTGGTCCCAGCTGTATGGGAGGCTAAGGTGGGAAGATGGTTTAAGCCTAGGAGTTCAAGACCAACCTGGGGTAACATAGCAGGAGCCCGTCTCTAATTTTTAAAAACATTATAAAATGTAAATTATTCTCTTATTGCCTAAGGTGAATATGTTTTGAATACCACTTAAGAGCTTTAGTTGCTAATAATGAAAGAATGCCACCCTTTCTAAGCAACATTAAAATTATATGACACTAAGATGAGAAAGTCGCACATATACACATCTATGACCCACTTCTAAGAGTAGTAACTAATGATAATAATATTAATGTCCAAGCAACAGAAGTGATTGAGCTTGGAAGTGCAGCTGATGAAAGTTTAAAGAGATTCATTAATAAGCTAAAGTAAGGACGGAGATTGATCAAGTCCGGGCACATATGCATGAGGAGAAAATGTTTTAGCTACCATAATCACAACTCTATTCTAAACCTTGGTCCCCCAAAATGCTGACTTTCCACTAAATTCAGGTTCCTAATGCTAATACTTTAGCAATTCTATTTGATATCAACATTGACTGCCTTATCTTAACTATTGGCTACAATTTGCATATAAGCTGAGGCAAATACCTTGGAATTATACTGTGGTGCTGGTGCTTGGAGACAGAATAGGCCTTATAGATTTTACTCTGTCTTATTGAGCATTTATGATGTCGATGCTGTGTTTAGAGGAATATGATCAATATACTTTGTTATCCACTGAGATGTGTAAAAAAAATCATGCCCCACTAGATACAGCTGAGATATAGAGTCTTTCCTCAAGTCATCTAGAGTTTAGTCATCAATATGATCTACTGTGTTACAATTGTCCCTTTATATGTTTTTAGTTGTTTGTTTTGAGACAGGGCCTCACTGTCACCCAAGCTGGAATGCAGTGGCATGATCATGGCTCACTGTAACCTTACTATTTTATTTTTAAATATAGATGAATCCATATCAGCTTATTAAACACTACGGATTCCACAGATCAAATATGTTTTGGCAACATAATATTGAAATAAAAGTCTGACGGTAAAATGGCAGTTGCTAAAATAAAATAAATTGTAAGTGATTAATAAGGTCTGAGGTGAGTGGGTGTGAATATATAAGTATGTGAACTTCAACTGTCTTATTTTGACGCTCTGTGGTTCCCACAATGAAAACAGCACTTGCTTGCTCATTCCTTTCTGTGTAGGTGTTTACAATGATTTCCTAAACGGTACCACTCTACCACATAGGCTTCATTACATTTATCAACTAGTATGATCTGGTCGAATGTATTAGTCAAGAGTCATGGCTTATTTTTATGGTCTAGTATTGTGGTTCTTTTCTAGCACATCTTGTAATAATTATTCTCTCAAACAGACTCCTACTAAAGCCCTGCGTACTTTTCTCATCCATCAAGTGGGGGCAAACTACTCAGACAGGATGTGAGCCAGGTTGTTGTCCCTGCATTCGGTTCCAGCACTCAGGCTTATCCTCTCATTTCCCATTCAGTTGTTTTACTGGCTGGGATCTTTTGATGAAGACGTTTTACTTGGCAACTGCCATACTGTAGGCTCCACTGCAGAAAGCTTACATAGTAGGCGTTCAATAAATATTTGTGGAATGGATAATGACCCTGAATCATCACAATACACTGCCCCAAACAGCTTGCCTGTGTTCTACCCCCCTGAGGCAGTGCTTTTCAAACTTTTTTTTTTTTGCCCAGAATCAAATTTTCAGTGAGGCACGAAGTTGTGTGGGCCACTCACTCCACCAGTTGCCAGTTATGGCCAGAGAAGGAATCTCCCCAGATAGAATGGGAACAAGTCAAAGTTGCTTTCAGTAGAAACAATGAGATGAAGCTAATTTTCATTACATTTCACACCTAAATGTATTAATTCATTATAAATTGTCTGTGAATATTGCCAGACATTGACAACATTAAAGTTCAGTCTATTACCATTTGCAGGCCGAGTATGAGCCCCATGAAGCACCCTTTAAAAAACCCTGAATGATCCCATAACTTTGGTTAGACAGTCATAATTGTGGCAGACACTGTCTCATCACTTAATAGTTTTTAAACAATACTCGTTTTTCTTCCTTTTCTTCCAAAATTCAGATTCGATGGTCCATTTGAACAAATGCCTCATGAGTCTTTTTCCCCTTTAACTTTTTGAAAAGCCCTAATAACAACCCCTAATATTACATCAAGTGATTTGAGGTTTTTCCATGGTTGACAAGGAGATGACAGGCTTGATTTACAATTCAAACCCTCAATTGCCACTGGATTCCTATGGTCTCATAATGAGCAAGAATCTTTTTCATTGTTCAGTGTTTGTCCCCACAAATTCTTGGTCTAAAATGAAAAATCATCCACAATGGCTGATGCAACCCATTCAAATGCTTTGCCTGCCATTTAGGGATATACTTGGAATTACCATTTCAGGAAAGGCAAAACACTGCAAAGAGCCAATGATACTAAAAACTTGGATAGCCTACCAACATACTGTAAATATCTATTTTAAACTTGAGAGTAACAACTGAGCCCAGAGGAGAAAAAATTGA